AACTACATCCCCAGCCCTTTTTATTTTATATTTTGAGACAGAGTCTTGCTAAGTTGCTGAAGCTGGCCTCAAACATGTGATCCTCCTGCCTTAGCCTCTCCCCGAGTTTCTGGGATTACAAACATGCACCAAATCATTAATTTCTATTTGAGCTGAATCAAGAGAAATAAGTATTATATAAGGAAATAACAGAATACTAAGAGAAGGTAAGAAAAAGAATATTGAAAGTGCAAATGAATCTACATTATTGACTTCCTAATAAAATTAAGGACATTCCTGGCTTTATTTTTTTTTTATAAGTTTCTGTCTTCTGAACTATATAATTTATCTCAAAAATGATCTTAGGCACATGTAATGAACTTTTTCATATCTTTCCTAAATCTGTGACTCTTATGATTAAGAAGCTCCTCTTCAGGCTGGGGATACAGCTCAGTTGGTAGAGGGCTTGCCTCGTATGTGCAAAGCCCTGGGTTCAATCCCCAGTATCACCAAAAAAAGAAGCTCTCCCTCTGCAATGGTAATTTTACATCATTACAAGTTCCATGAGAACAGGGGTCATGCTTAGGTTTCATTATATTTTCCTTGCAACATCCATCACACAGAATTATGCATACAAAACTGGACTCAGTATAATATATAAAATCTCATTACAGTCAGCATTAACATTAACAGATGAATATCTGCAATTGCTTTGTTTTGCAATTGATTTTGATGTTTGGGGACATCAACCCTGAATCCCAATTAAATGAAATGTTATACCCCCCCCCAAAGGTAATGCCATTCTTCTCATTAGTAGACTTGTAAAAAAAAAAAAAAAAAAAAAAAAAAAAACATATACTCCATCATGTTATGTTTTGAATTGCAACAAAAATTTGCAGACATTTGAGTTGGGTACAGTGGCACATGCCTATAATCGCACCTACTTGGGAGATCGACACAAGAAGATTCCAAGTCTGAGACCAGCCTGGCAACTTAGCAAAATAAAACACATAAAGGGTTGGGAATATAGGTTAGTGGGAAAGTACCCCTGCATTCAATCCTCAGTACTGAAAAAAAAAATTGTTTTCTCTTGTTATATATATGTTAATCTGCAAAGCCTAAAATATTTATTATCCGGTCCTTTACATGAAAAACGCTTACCCCATAACACGATTAAGCTATGGAAGGAGCACCCAACCTAGTCTTTCACAGGCCATAGGTAGAAATGTCCAGAGAACGTTTCCTAGAAAAAGTGATGGTTGACTGGAGCCTAAAATATAAGAGAGTTAGCTAGGTAAAGCGGGTGAGGATTGAAAAAAAAAGTCATTTGATCAGAAGGAAATGTATCTGCTAACGAGTAAAAGCAAAGAAGCCCAGCTCACAGAGAACTGAAAAGTGTTTGGGATGGCTGAGACCAAGAGGGGAGAGAAGGAAGGATCAGTGGGGTTACATGCTACTATGAGGTCAAGCAAGATCAGGAATGAAAAGAAGCCTTGAATTCAGCAATAAAATGATATTTATTTCCACAGAGAAATTGGTGAGGGCAGTCTCAGTGGCCTGGCAAAAGCAGGAGCCAGGATGCAGTGGGTTAGGATAAAATGGAGGATCCAGAGACAGTAAGAGAAGAGCAGCTAGTGGGAGGTATGAAGTAGAATTTTCTTAAAAGATGGGAAAGATTTGAACATGTGGTTAAATGTTAAGGGTGTGAAGCCCTGAGAAAAAAGAAGGAATCCAGAGTAAAATGTAGACTTTGTTTTGGAAGGGCACAAGACCCTCTTCCACTGTTATGAAAGGAAGACAAAAATAAATTCAAGAACATTTTTAGTTATTGTAACCAACTTCTGGGAAGTTCTATTATGATGGCATCCACTTTGAAGTACAAAGAGAGATACAAAGTTTAAGAAAGAAAAAGAAGGTATTAAAAAGCCACAGTGGCTCAGTGGTAGAATCCTTGCTCAGCATGTGCAAGGCCTTGGGTCAATCATCAGAAACACACACACACACACACACACACACACACACGTGAGTGCGTGCCAGGGATGCTAATGTGGGGAAGAAACCTAAGTGAAACCTGTGAGGATTTCTGGGCAGAATTAAGGAAACAGGGAAGAGACTATAATTTTTAGTATCATTATTCTATGGAAGTCTGAGATTTCTCTTAGCAGCATTTGGCAGCCTAGACATAGGCTTACTGAGATAAATCTTTGTAGTGATCCAGGGCTAGGTTTCTTTTCTGCTGGATGGGTTTAACAGAATACTTGATGAAATAAGGAAATGGAAAGCACCAGCAAAAGTGGATGGGCCCTAGAGTCTAGGTAGATCAGGGACAAAAATAATTGAAGAGAGAATCTAGACACATAGAGACTGGACAGCTCAATGAGGTAAAAAAAAAAAATAGATAAAAGACAAATGGGATAGGAGTAACTGAGTGAGGATGATGGGTTAATAAGCGTTTCTGCTGAGAATGAGATCTGAATTTAAGTTTCTGGAGGTAGGATAGGGTCCAGAGTGTGACTATAAATGCAGCTTCAATTAATGGAGGTAAAAGTCACTATAGATCAGGAACTAAAGTTAGTGTCACAATGGCCAAAGCTTCACTTAGGTTTGCAGAGGAACATCTGAAGCATGTGGATTGGTTTTAAGAAAACGTAAGCACCTCACTGTTTTTAACATGACATGATTTCAGGGGACATTTTCAAGCAGTCAATTTCCAGAATATATATTTGAATGATGTTTACTCATTCCATCACAGATCTATGATCTCCTTCCTCCTCTGAACTGGTCTCCCTCATCAGTGATTTTTTTTTCTTAGTTAGCCTGAGCATGAGGAACACAGGGCAGATATCATACTGGGTTCAAGAATCTCCACTTGAAGGAAATTCTGTTGTGTGGTAAATGGATGAAACATGAAGTCGTTTTGGTAAGTGAAATAAGACAGTTACAAAACAACAATAACAATAGTAACAAATACTACTGTTTGGTTCCACTTATGAGATACTTATGACAGTCAATTTCATAAAAGCAAAAAAGAAAGTAGAATGATGATTACCATGGATTGGGGGAGGGAGGAATGGGGAATTTTGTTTAATGATACAGTTTCAGTATTGCAAAATAAAAAAGTTCTAGAGATGAATGATGGTGATGGTTACACAACAATGTAAATGTACCTAATGCCACTGAGTACTTAAAAATGGTTAATATGATATACCTCAGATTACATATATTTTGTTAGAATATGAAAGAAAAAAATAACAACTTAGATTCACATATATTGGTCACCCTAAGGAAGGTGATGACATTGTAGTACAGCAGAGAAGGAATAGTTAGTTCAATATGGGCCAGGCCAACTGAAGACCCAGAGGAGGAAAATACTTCATCCCTACTTTATACTACAAGCAAATATCAATTACAAATGGATTGTTAAAGTAAACATGGGAGCTGAAACAACAATGCTTTTAGAAGAACACATAGAATAGCTTTATAACCTTAGAATAGGCAAAGATTTCTTGAATAGAATATAGAAAAAATTACAAATCAGAATGCTAAAAATTTCTGTTCATCAAAACATACCGATGAGAGAGTTAAAATAAAACTATAGAATCAGAGGGGCTATTTCTATCCACTCTAATGCATATATCCGAAAAGTGACATATCTAGACTATATAAAGAACTCTATAAATCTCAATGGAAAAATGAGCAAATGACTTGTACACATGTCCAAACGGTCAACCAACAACCCCCACTCCCAAGAAAAGATTGTCAATTAAAACAACCACGAGATTCTAGCTAAAAAACATCAGATTAAAAAGACAGAAAACTAAGTATTACGGAGAACACAAGATAACTAGAATTCTCATACATGATGAGAAGTTTGGTACTTTGAAGCTGGAAGAATCTTCCATAAGACATGTATTACAATGCACAGTACACAACTTTTTGTTCAGGCAAAAAATGGAAACCACTCAAAGTCCATCAATATTAAAATGGATAAATAAATTGCAGAACATTCACCCAGTGGAATTTACCTACATTTTTTCTTCAACCTTCAACAAGGAAAATCCCTGAGGATAAATGCTTGGGAGAGTTGGGAAAGATTTCGCTGAAGTAACACTTAAATTGGGCCTTGAAGACAGATAGGAGGTTGTCAGAGAGGTCTAGTAAGTTCAACCTGAGGCCCGAAGAAAGCACAGAGTTGAGGAAGCGTGCAGAAACTCGGACTAGTGTGAGTACTGAGCTGTGTGCGTCAATGGAATGACAAAATGAGAGCTAAGCAGGCAGGTCTGGGGCTAGAGGGTATCGGATCTTCTGCCAAGGTCTTGAACGTTAGAAAGCACTACTGGGAAGAAGCTAGGGGAGCAGCTTCGTTCTAATGTGGGCTCCACTACTGATGAGCTGAGTGATCTGGGCATCTCTTGGCCTCACTTGTCGGTGTCCCCACTTGTAACACAGGAAGTTCTTTCCTTACACAGTAGCGAGGAGGAATTGAACGACTGAACGTGTACTCATCAATTAGCACAGCGTTGCGGACATGGAGCACCTAGTGGGAATGTATCGTCGTTCGGACCAAAGCTCGGTTTCTGAGGAGCCTTCTCCCCATTGGTAGGACTTGGGAAGGAGAGTAAGCTCGCGGCGGCCCGCACCCATTCCCCACTCCTCCGCCTTCGTGTGCCCCAGACCTTTTCTCAGACAGCAGGACCGGACCAGAGAGGGAGCGATGGGCCTGGCGGGCAGGGGACTTGCAGCCGCTTACCCGGGCTCGGGTCCCGCTCCTCGTCCTCTGCTGTCCCGCGGGCCTTGAAACCAGGCGGCAGCGCCGGCCCTATCAGGTCCCTGGCCATCCGCGACGGCGGACACTGATCACCCGTCAACCCCTATCAGTGCGGTTCAAATCTACCCCAAACGCAGCCCCGGACGCTCCGCGGCTGCTGGAAGTCTTCCGGCGCCGACCAATGATGTAACAGCTTGTGATTGGCTGAGCCGTGAAATTCGCAGTTAACGGAAGTGATGTGTAAGGCCTGTTACACAGACGCACGCTGGGCTCCCAGCTTAGAAGAAGGTAGCATGGCAGAGCCAGGTAGTAATTTTATGAGCCCTCCGGGGTGGTTTCCAGCCCCCGAACCGACTCCCAGGTTGGGGCCCATGAGCAACGCCGCCCCTCCGCGGGACAACTGGGTATTCTGGGCAATGCTGCCGCCAGTGCCGCCTCCTTCGTTGCAGCCTGCTGCCAGATCAGAGCATTCATTTGAGGCGCAGCCCCGGATGAAGGTCCAGCCTCTCTCCGGGGCGCCACCCCCCTTTGATGCCCAGATTCTGCCCGGGACGCAGCCCCCCTTCGACTCCCAATCCCCCCTTGATTCTCAGCCTCAGCTCAGCGGCCAGCCTGCTTGGAAGTTCCAGGCTTCGACATCTTGGTCCTGGGGACAGTCTCCTGGTGCTTTCCCTCATCAGCAGAACTCCTGCAATCCTCCAGGTAGGCTGTGGTTCCTTGCGGTACCACCCTTTATCCCGCTTTCTGTTCCTACCTATCCCATTTCTTTTTTCCTCATTATCACTCTGCCCTGTACTCTTGGAGTCTGGTAATTGATGTCTCAAAATATGTTCTAATGGAATGATTCCCCTGCCTGCTCATTCATTAGCTGTTGTTTCTTGAATTCCACCTATATATGAGGAGCTGAGAATATAGCAGTGAAGAAATCAAAAATCCTGTCTTTGTGGAGCTTAGTATCTCCCTAGTGTAGTAAGATAGACAATAAACAGAATTGTGAATTAGAAGGTAATGAGTGCTGTTGAGAGAGATAAAGAAGAATAATGGTGTAATTTTAAATTTCATTGGTATTCATTGGAGCAGATTTCTGGGAGGTGAGAGATCAGAACTATGCATACTTCTGAGGAGGAATGGAGGCAGAAGGAAAGGTAATGGTGAAGGCTTTCAGGCAGAAGCTGTACATCTGATTGAAAACTACTGTGGCTAGAGAAGATTGAGCCTGGGGTACAATTGTAGAAGATTGGGAAGGAGGGCAAACTTCATAGGTCCTTGTGGATGAGGGTAGAACTTGAGGGCAGACTTGGTAGGTCCTTGTAGATGATGAGACTGGCTTTTATTGTTATGAGATGGGTAGTGCAGGAGAGTGTCCTGATCTGATTTGTATTTTAAGAGGAACCCTACGGCTGTTGATGGGAATTGACTGAAAGGGAGATTGTTAGAAAGTTACTGCAGTTGTTCCAGTGATATTGGGGACTTGGATCAGGTAGAGATCTGGGGGTGAGAAATAATCAGATGAGAACTAATTAGACCCCAGATATATTTTAAAGGAAGGATCAAAATGATTTGCTGAAAGATAGAATGTGGTGTATGAGAGAAATTTTGCCAAATGACTGGAAGGATGGAGTGGTTATTAACTGAAATAGGGCAGAGTGGATGAATCAGATTTAGAAAACTGGGAATTGAGCTTGTAAAACAAAGATTGTTCACTTAAAATCATTATCCAATTCATTATAAAACCCAGTATACATTAAATTGAATTCAAACAATTAGTGTTTACTGTGTACTGGATGTAGGAATATGAATTTGCTAGGTCAGATTTGATATGTATAAATCACAGCACAATATGTTGGATGATAGAGGCATATAAAAGGTAGTTTTTAGAGTGCAGAGAAAATTGGGAAAAGTTTTTAGAAGCCTTAGGAGATCTGTAGAATTTGGGAAGAGCTACTTCTTAGGTGGAGTTAAAGATGTATCAGTATAACATGAGTTTTAGAGATTGTAGTGTTCTGGTGTGACTGAAGCAGAGTATGTGGAAATTATGGGGAAAGGGTGGGATGAGAAAATAACCTGGAATCTCACTTTAGGAAGCCATTTGCAGATTTTTTGGGATCTTGGGTAGTGTTGAGAATAGAACCGAAGGCCTTATGCATGGTAGGCAAGTGCTATACCACTGAGCTATATCCCCCCTTATTTGCATATTTTTGACCCTGATTGACGTTATTGGAGAAATATTTTTGTGATATCGAAATGCAAGGTCTGTTGGAAGAGAGGGGTTAGGCACTGGAAGACAATCTAGAAAGCTGGCACAGTAACATAGGCAGAAGATCAGGGTTTCTAAATCATGTCATGAGAATGGAAGGGAGTAGAAAGGGTGGGATTTGAAAGGACACATATTTCACAACTTTTTGTTTTCCTGGTGTGAAATTGATGCTGAAGGATTAGGACTAGGGATTTCACTAGTTACATTTCTTTCTTTCTTTTTTTTTTTTTTAAGCATTTTTTAACCTTTATTTATTTATTTTTTATGTGGTGCTGAGGATGGACCCAGTGCCACACACAATCCTACCCCTCACTGGTTACATTTCTAATATTTAAAATAACTCAAAGAATTTCATCAGGTTTAGAGTGTTCATTCCTGTACTAGGTACCTAACACATATATGGACATGTAATCTCACCAGTATTTCTTCATTTGAAAAAATCATTAATCATAGTCTTTGCTAATTTGTTAGAACTGCTATTCTTCTTATAATGGGTAGTTTACCGGTGTTTTTACTCAAGTATCTGTGATGTAAATTAAATAGTAAATTAAATTGTAAATAATTGAGCAGTTGCAAACATTAATGGATCTGTTTTTGTTTTTCAGTTAATCATTCTTATTTTCCACCAAAATATGATGCAAAATTCACTAATGTTAACTTCTCTCCTGGCAAAAAACAGAAAAAAAAGGTATTTCTAAGATTTCTTGACTATGATGGTTTGATTCTTCTGTTACTATTATTTTATCTTTTGTTTCTATCATATCTATTTCAATGTTTTGCATTCATTATTGACATAGTAGAGCTTTGCTGCAATACGATTTTTAAGGATCTTAGCTGTAAGTAAAGACTTAAAGCAAAATTATTTTGAAAAATGAGTGAAGAAATTATAGAAAAAGAAAACATTGAATCTTTTTCAATACAATATTAGGAGTAAAAATAATTGAGAACTACAATTACAAATACTGTAAATGTTATTAGAATTTGATAATTTAAAAACTTACTAGCAGATTGAGAAATGAGGGATGGAATTTTGGGAGATTAGAAGTCCAAATTTTTTCTTATAAGCACGTATTTAAAAACACACTATAACGACTTTGTTTTTTCATAATCTTTTTTTTAACAGAGAAATGCCTTTTAAGAATGGGTGTCTACAGTAAAAAAGTAGTAGCTTCTGTTTCTTTTTCTTGCATTAAAATTGGGTTAATTTAGTATTTAGTTATCCTGTATGCATAAAGTAATATCTGAAACTCAGACAGGATTTTTGTGCTCTAAATGTTATTTATTGTTTATTCATTTTAATATTTCAGTTTTTTCAAAAGTGGGCATCTATCATTTTATGAAAATGTCTTATTTTTAAAAATGAGCAACAGTTTAACCACACTATAATTATATGCTTATACTTCAGAAGCATAATGCTTTATTAAGATAACTTCCTTTATTCTATAGTTTACAGATCAGATCTTTTAAATTTAAAATCTATAAACAATGCTATTAGTTTAGAATAAGTTGGATCTGTCTACAACATGAATTTAGTGTCCTTCACTTGACATGAAAATTTTGTGGCTTATGTTTACAAAATATTGTGCAAGTGCATATATTTATTAACATAATCCTAGCATTAAAGAATTGGAGTTCTATTTTCTATATATTCTATCATTATAATAAGCTTTTTGTTATGTTTAAGCATAAAAATAGCAAATTGTGACTCAGAAACAACTAATCCTTACCGAAATGATTCTTTGTCCCCCTTCTGTGATTTTTTAAAAAATTCATGAAATAGTGCTTTACCTAAAAGATGAAATGTAAGTTTACCTTAAATATTTATTTTTAGATCCTTTGACATCTTCTGTACTGAGTCTTAATTAGATTGCCAATTCAAAATTGACTCATAGTTTACATTAGATTAAATCTAGTTAGATTTACATTTAGTTATATCACACAAGTATGTGTTACTAGGCAGATAGTTACATTTGTATTATTGACTTGAGATTTACCCCCAAAAGCCTAATCCCTCTTCTTTTTTTGTTTACAGAAAAGAAAGGAACAAGTTTTTCACTTATTTTGTGATACCTGTGATCGTGGTTTTAAAGATCAAGAAAAGCATGACAAACACATGTCTGAACATACAAAAGTAGGTTTCCTTGGTTGTTCTGAAATTTATGTAGCAAAATGAAATATATATTTTATATATATTTTTGACAGAAAATTCGGAGTGTGTGTTTCTTAAAAGTTCGTAGTTGTTATAGAAATGTTCTTTGATGACTTGATGAATAGAGACAGTGGCATTGGAGTTTGTGGTTTGAGAGAGGGATGCCCTCTGCTTCAGGGATAGTAAGATACCAGCATAGAAGGGAGAGGTGGCAGCTCTTTGAACATGAGCACCTCCACTGCTTGTTAAAAGTTAGGTCCTTCCCTCTCATTGTCCTGTGCATCTTTGTAAATTCTTTTTCCTTAAAGAGGTTAAGGCTCAAGGTCAAGGTTAAGGTTCCTTGACTATTTAACCACACTATAATTTGCCTTAGCTCACCACCTTGTAAAGATGCTGTGGATCTTAAGTATTTTTTGAAAAATTTTATCTAGAATGTTTTTAAAAGTTAAAAAAAAAAAAAAGAAAAAGAAAGTTCTTAGTTTGAAAAAGTTCTCTCTTCATTTATAGAAATATTCTTCAACTTTAGCACATTTTATAGCATTGCCGATGTCAAGCTTTTTACCTAAATGAAGTAAATGAAATATACTGTGCTATATACTTTGAAAATGTTATTTCTTTATTTTTCTCTTTTCTTTCTCTCTTCCTCCCTCTCCTTTCTTCTTCCTTCCTTCCTTCCTTTCAATTTAACCCAGGGGTGCTCTACTTTAAGCTACTAGGGATTTAGCCCAGGAGTTGCTGTACTACTGAGCTATTTTTAATTTTGAGATGAGGTCTTGCTAAATTGCCCAGACTGGCCTCCAACTTGTGATCCTCCTGCCTCAGCTTCCTGATTTTCTGGGATTACAGGCATGTGCCACCGTACCTTACCATCTTTTCTTTTTAAATACAGCTGTGCTTTGGAGTGATCTCTGTTTTGCTGTTGACATAAGAACAAAGTAGTATGGCTGTATAGATGGATAATTATATAACAAGACCAGAATACATCTCTGTATATGTAAAAGGGTAAACTTAGTGTGAAAACATTAAATAGTCTTTTTAAACAACTGTTACAGTGTCCTGAAGTAGATTGCTCTTTTACTGCACATGAGAAGATTGTCCAGTTTCACTGGAAACATGTAAGTCTTTGAGTTTTTTTAAACTTTTTCTTTTTTTGGCTACATGCTCTTCTTGTTTTATTAATCTGTTCTTTCACGGCTTTTTATTCACTTGGTCTAATAAGAAGTAATATTTATGGAGTACTTTGTAAGGGAGTTTTACATCTCTTACTCAATTTTATCCTCACAAACAACTGTGTGAATAGGTAAATATAGGCCTAATTCTAACAGATTAAAAATATAATATTCCTAAGAATCTTGCACTTGAGTTTTTTGACTCTAAATTTTGTACTGGTTTTATAACTTGCTACTTAATGTTTAAAAAATTTTTTGGTTGTTGATGGACCTTTATTTTATTCATTTATTTTTATGTGGGGCTGAGAATCAGACCCTGTGCCTCCTACTAGGCAAGTGCTCTACCACTGAGCCACAATCCCAGCTCTTAAAATTTTTATGTCTACTCATTTCTTCAGATGCCATCCTCAATATTGGTTGGTAAATTATTTACTTGGATATTTAAAATCAATTGAGAAAATAGGTTATTATAGCTCCCCATCCTATAAAGATGCTATGGATCTTAAGTATTGTTTGAAAAATTTTATCTAAAATGTTTTAAAAAATTTAAAAAAAAGAAAGTTGGCTTTCCTTGGTTGTTCACAAATTTATGTAGCAAAATGGCCTTTTATTTATATTTTTAATAGAAATTTGGAGTGTGTGTTTATATATGAAAAAAAAGAAAAATTGGCTTTATAACTACAGTTATGTTACTCCTTTTGTTCCCCATCAATAACATTAATTTAAATATATGAGAAATTATTCCTTTTTCCTTAAAGGAAAAGTCATAATAAGGATGGATAAAACCTGCTTAACTTAGTTTTAAAATAATTTCTGCTTATAAATTTAGTGTTTGATACAAAGTTTTCCAGTCAATCAGAAGCACACAATATGCTTCCTGGTGTTCAGCAGGCTTTTTGCCCCTAGATGCATGCTCCTGGTATGAAGAAGATCAAGTTAGACACGCCAGAGGAGATTGCAAGATGGAGGGAAGAAAGAAGAAAGTGAGTATAAAGAGTTCACAACTAGAAAAATAAACTTCTTATACTGTGGGTACTTCAAAATAATGGCCAGTCTGATCTTAATAACTTGTAAAAGGAAATTTGTTTTTTTTAACATTGCAAATATTCAGCTGAAAATGACTAGTCCTTCAGAGTTGGTACATAGTAACTTTAAGAATATTGCTACTTGGGGCTGGGGTTGTGGCTCAGCAGTACAGCGCTTGCCTTGCATGTGTGAGGCACTGGGTTCAATCCTTAGCACCACATAAAAAAATAAAATAAAGGTATTGTGTCTGTCTACAACTAAAAAGAAAATATTTTTTTAAATTATTTTAAAAAATATTGTTACTTGATTTTAAGATAGACATGTATTTTTTAAAAGTGTAGTTAAATTCATTGAATTCCTTTGTAATGTTAGCGCTAGGGAGCGGGACTATAAGCTAGTATTATATGAGATTATTACTGAATGTAGTTTTCTTGGGGAGACTTAATAAGAATTCTATTTAGATAACAAATATTTCATAATTGGACTATATTCTTTGAGAGGGAGCTACTGTAAGCCACTATTAGATATTCAGTGACTGAGGCATTAATGGGTGTGTGCTTTTATTTTTAAAGTGTGTAATACTTTGCTATGTTTATTCTTTTGATTATTCAATAGAGAATTGTTGAATGGTTGCTATGTGCTAGGCAAAGGGGATATAGCAATGAATAAGACACATTTGCTATCTATAAAAAGACCAGGAATTCATTTCTGTAATTAAAGTTTAAGAAATTTGAGCCTTTCATTATGGCTTGTGGTTTTAGATTTGTAAGGTAAGAAAATTTAGTTGATGTCTAGCTAGAATATATTTATGAAAAATCCCACTAGGGCTCTGTTTTACTATCTTTTCAGATACTTCATCCTGAAGCAGAAGACTAAGGCTCAACTATTTTAATGATCAGTGTACTTTTAAAGTCAAATGCTATTTTCCTGGAATTAAAAAATGAGAGCCTAAGATGAAAAAGAGAGAAGTTATTTTTAAAGTTCAAGAAAGATACTTAATACTCTTTGGACTAGCAGGTTGCATTTGTCCTTTGTTCAACTTAGAAATTTTCAGTTTAAATCCATTTTTGCAGGTAGTGATGTGCCAGATGTTATCAGCTGGTTTCTAGTTTAATTTTCTAATGTTAGCAAGAAATCTCAGCAACCTTTGAATATTTCTTAATGGAAAATATGAGATCCTTGAGTAACTTCTTGACAGTAGTTTAGTTTGAAATTTGAGGTAAATGTTCTGTATTTGAAAGAACAAAGATTTTGCAGTTTTTGACCAAGGTCAATTGTAAGCATTAGATTCTGTGAAAAAGTTAGTTATTGCCTTTTAAGACTTTAGAGGTAATTCTGAGGGAAACCAGCTGACAATGATGGTGTTGAAGATTGTATCCTCTAGTTGGGTGGAAGTGGCCTATTAAGACACTAAGATTTTTTGTTTTTCCCCTTGATACTTATCTCTGACTTTGATCAATTGGAGGACAATACATTTAAGTGGTGCTTTCCCTTATATAAATGTTTAATTCTTTTGAGGGAAATGAAATGGTTACTAGTCAGCAATGATTATAAAGTAAATGAAATTATTAAATTCTTATTGAGTCATGTTTTAAGTTTACTTAAGGCAATAAGGAAGGTCAGAAATGAACTTTAGATTTGCTAACTTTGGTTCTTTTAGTTCTAGTGGTTGTATAAATTAAATTTTTACATAAATGGGAAACATGGAACCACTATTAAATTAATGGTAAGCAACTTCAATGATTCTTCTACTATGTAGCTATTGCCCTCTCCCACAGTCCTCCACTTTTCTTCCCTTTCAGCATGGAAGAGGAAGAGGACCTCATGTAGTCTAGAAGGTTAGGGTTTTTCATGACTAAAGAAGGTTGATCTGAACTCAGGACTATGAAAAGATAAGGAGTAGGCAGGGAGTAGTGGCCAGTGATTGGCATGTTCAAGGAGCTGAAAGTATAGATAAGAAATTATAGAGCTTTAAAAGGGTGTCTGATGCAGGGATGGAGAGAACTGGTGTATGCCGAACATTTGGGAGGTGAAAATAGACAGTACTTGGTGATTAAATGGTTATGAGGTTGAGAAGGAGAGAGGTTTTCAGGGGACTTCCAAGTTTCTGGACTGAGCACTTCAATGAAAGATGGTAGCTGAGATAGAGAACCCTGGAAGGAGTCAGGGTTGATTTTGTATACTTTGATTTCATTGTTATTTTAGCTGCTTGAAGATGTTGAGTAAGCATTGATACTTGGCAGGCCTGGGTCAGAGATTTTTTTTGAATTATGGAGCTTTGAATGTGGAATAGATCCCGAGGGGGGAGAGGGAGGCAGAGAGAAATGAAAAGAGAGGGTAGCCTAACAGAGAATCTTGATCCTTTCCAACATTTAAAGGTCTAATAGAGACCAAATATATCTGTGGAGTGGGAGCCAGACAGGCATAAGAAATAGGACTTCCTATCATGGAACAGTGGAGGAGAGAATTTCAATAGAAAGATTGGATTAGCAATTGAGATTGCTAATGAAAGCTCACATAAAACAAGAACAAAAAGTGACAATAGATTTTGTGACATATGTTGGACCTATGTTGATGGGGATTCCAGATGATTATTCCATGGCCCTTCTGTGAGCTTTCTGCCATCTGTTCGTAGTTCTCTCTTCAATTCTACCATCTACCCCCAGTAATTCTTAACAAGAGAAGTTGTCTTTGCCACCTGCTCTTGGCATGATAGATGCTGCAAAGGTAGTATGTATAGTTTGAACTCATTCACTACCTTTTAACCTTCGGATTTCCAGTGTTCTTCACTTCCATGCGGTTTCAGCCACTTACCTTCATGGCCACTGAATTTTCAAGTTAGACATACTCCTTTTTTTTTTCTATTTCTTTTTTAAAATTTTTTGTAATTGTAGATGAACAGCATGTCTTTATTTTATTCATTTATTTTTATGTGGTGCTGAGGATCGAACCCAGTGCCTCACATGTGTAAGGCAAGCGCTCTGCCACTGAGCCCCAGCCCCAGCCCCCAGACATACTCCTTTTTGATCATCCCTTCCCACACATCCACCCACCTATTACTGTTACCCTCTGTGTGGGTTTGGACTAGTTGAGTCTTCCCATCCCTTAACTTGTGTTTTACCTTCTTTCTTGCACTCCCTTTCTCTCTTCACTGCCTTACCCAACATAGCGCACTTCAGCCACTCGGGTCAGTACCTCAGTGCCCTTAAATAACATCATCCATTGTTCTTTATCTCACTCACCTGGCAGTCTTGACCCTGGTTCAATGTAAAGACGTTCTATGTCTTGTTCCAGAGAACCACACAATTGAAATATACTCTGCAAGTGAATGCCCAGCAGTGTTATCTGACTTAAGGAACTTACTTGATGATGAGAAGTTTTATTTTATTTTTTTTGTATTAGTTCTTTTGTGGTCGAAAATTAAATGTTCAGTATATGTATGTTTCTTAGTTATACAGAAGACTGTGTAATATAAACTTAAAATTTCTGTTAAACTGATTTTATCTTAGCAAGGTGAAAATAACAAATCAAAGCTCCTTAAAACTGGCACTCAGGATTCTAATGTGAGCTAGTTTATCTTTTTTGATTATTGTCACATTATTACTTAGAGAAATTTAGGGTCTCAGCTAAACTTGCTATTTATCATATTTCATACAGGTTTTTAGACTTTAACCTCTCAGTTTTCTTTTTCTTCTTTTTCCCATGCTGGGGATCAAACCCTGGGCCTTGGTCATGCTAGGAAACTCTTCTTCCAGCTGAGCTACATCCCTAGCCCTTGACCTCTTAGTTTTGCTAATGCTTCTAGAAATTTTTTTTTAATTTATTTATTTGTTCTGATTTGTTATACATGATAGCAGAATGCATTTCAGTTCATAGTACACTAATGGAGCACACATTTTCATTTCTCTGCTTGTACATAGAGTCACACCATTTGTGTCTTCTTACATGTACCTAGGGTAATGATGTCCATCTCATTCTACCATCTTTCCTACCCATGGGCCCCCTCCCTTCCCTTTGCTCTATCCAGAGTTCCTCTATTCCTCCTCTGCTCTCCCCCACCCCCATTATGGATCAGCATCCAATTATCAGAGAAAACATTTGGCCTTTGTTTTTTCAGATTGGCTTGCTTCACTTAGCATGATATTCTCCAACTCCGTCCATTTACCTGCAAATGCCATGATTTTATTCCCTTTTAATGCTGAGTAATATTCCATTGGGAAGATATATGTCTATATATATATCATAGTTTTTATATATATATATATATATATATATAT